GTGACATTGGTTGAAGCCAGAGAGTTTAAATAGATAGCTTCCTAGTTAGGCTATAGGTATAATAGCTAGTGTAGAACTCTTAGCATAGCACTAACGCTTCGGGCAAACTACTTAAATAGGCAACCAAAAGTTGTACGTATGACTAGTTGTACTCTCGTAATACTGATATAATATGTAAGCCAGTCTTTGGACAATGGCCCACCCATTTGAACTAATAAAGTGCTAGAGGCCTAAGTGGTCACCTCAATATTAAAAAAAATAAAAAATAAAAAATAATTCAAATTATATTAAAAATTATATTCTTTTAAAAAATTTGTTATAAAATTTTTAAATTAGACCTGCTATAATTGTAATATAATAAAGAAATTTAATCCGTAGTTAATTTTGAAGTTAATATAACATGACGGCTCTAGTAACTTAATTCAATAATCATCTTTTTTTTTTAAGAATTTAGCTACTATACACGAATCTCCTTTGTATAGTTTAGCTCAAAATTCAAATGATGAATTAGGCCAATCTTCAATCAACGTAAATAAACTTTACCTTTCACGAGATATAACATCGATTCTACTCAATAATAATTTCTGGCACTTGGTAAAATTGTTGCACTCATTGCTTCTTCCTTATTGTGAAGTCCTTAATAAATTACAATCAGATACTGCTCGCCTTCACGAAGTGCTACAATCTTTTGGTGGAATATTAAAAATGTGGGAAGAATATCCTGATGAGGATTTAGCAAAGTGTATAATCTCACGACTAGAACAAAGGTGGAAGCAATGGGGGCAACCATTATTGTTATTAGCTTTTCTTTTAAATTCAAGTATTCGCGATACTTGGTTCAGAACTAATACTGATAATTTAAACTTTACATATCTTGCCTAATTTATTACTTATTACTATAAAGCATGGTTTGAGCATCAACCAACCTGTATTCTACTTGAGTTTGAAAAATATAAATACCCATTTGATTGTTCAACATATAAACAATTTAAAGGAAACATATTAAAATTTTGGGAATTTGTCTCCCCCTCAACTAAAGAATTGGGACCTTTAGCTGTACGGCTATTTGGAATTTGTATTAATGCAGCATCTGTAGAACGATTATGGAGTTTGATGAGATTTATCCATACTAACCGACGAAGTCGTCTCCAAGTAAGTGTTACTGTAATTAAAAGTACCTGGATTCTCATATTCCATTTTCTAGATATAATATAATTTTGATATTGTTTTAATTTTTTTTTTTATAAATCGTAGAATAAAAAAGTGTTAGCCATATGTCAAATTCGTGCTTCAATTAACTTCATTCAACAAAAAAAACTATACAAACCTTCCAATAATCCAGCATGTCAAAGTGATGAACTTGGACAAGCTGAACAAAATGAATTAGACGATCAAGATAAATTGGATGAAGGAAACAATTCTGAGGAAAATACTGAAACTAATATAACAGATACAACGGCATAGAAAAGTCGATTACAAGAGTGAAAGCAAATGTTAATTGATGAAGAAACTGCTATGTTAGAAGAAGAAGAAGTAGAGCGTGAAAATGATGAATATAATATGAGTAGTGATTTGTTAAGTAATTATACGCACCTGGCAATTGACTATAAAGCAAAGTGGGAGTTGAGCAGTTTATTCAGCCCACTTTTCGAAAAACCAAGCTATATGATTTCTGAAGGTTAGCTTTTGATAAAATTATATTGATAACAAACTTATTGCAATTCTCACAGCTTCGTAAAATGCTGAAATATTTAATATAGGAAATTTACCTGAAGCCTTCAATCTTAACCGTGCTACGAGTACAGATTTAACCCAAAATAAGTAACACGGCTCTGTTTAAATTTAATTCAAAGTTAAATTAAATATAGATCTTTTTTTTTTTTTCATATTCTATCGCTACATATTGTACGTAATAAAAGAATTATTTAAATGAACAATTTTACTATATATATAAATATGTAAAGCTTGTTTTCTATTGGTTGATATTGATATGATATACATGATTATAGTCCCGCACTTTGATTGGTTGATATAATTTTTGTTCCAGTAAAAAAAATCTTAACTGGAACCACTGGATGCTGGAAGAATCTGGACATCCAGTGGAAGTTCTAGCTTCCAGTTAACAACACTGCCCTAGGGTAGCCCATTAATACATTGTATAACTTATCCACCAATTAAAATTGATTACCTCACATAATTTTTTAACTATATATATATTGACATCTGGATTTTTTTTTGCACTTACATATCGAATAATAAATTTTTTTTTTTTATTAAAAAAAAATAACTAAATAAATTGGCAAAGTGTCTTGTTTTTTGACTTTATTGTAAGTTAATTAAGTTAATTTTTTTTTTCTACTATTTATTATTATATTAACTTTTTGCTTTTTTAACAATAGCAAATTTACCTATACGTAATCTGAACGGTATCACAGTACCAACTAACCAATCAATCATTATGGATGAAATTAACTATAACATTGAATATCAGATGATCTAAATAACTCTGTATTAATTTTAGAGTTATCAAGCATTAAAGTAACTTCTACCACCACTAATGAAACTAACAAAACTACTAGCACTACTACTGCTAATCAAACTAATAGCACTACTACCACTAATCAAACTAATGGCACTACTACCGCTAATCAAACTAATGAAACTACTGGCACTGGTGAAGCAACTTTAGAAAATAAATCTCCTATATGAAAAAGTTTTGAAGTGTTAGAAAATGAACCAAAAGCCAACTATAAATACTGTAAAAAGGTACTTAGTTACAAAAAAGGAAATGAAACTCTCATCTTCAATGCTATCTTAAGTCTTGTTTAAAGTACCAAAGCTCTGTTTCTAATGGGCTAATTTTGCATATCCAAATAGCCAAACCCAACTAAGTTTTAATTCATTGATTAACCAACTACCTATTGAAAACTCAAATCAAGAAAACCTTGTATATATAATAATTTTTGACGAACTAAATTTTTAGTTTATTGAGAAGCAAGGTTTTCATAAATTTGTAAATAGAATATTATCTGGGTTTACGATTAGTGCAGATACAATAAAAAGAGACATAATAAAGGCTTATAATAAAAAAAAAGCTATAATTAAAGCAATTCTTCAAAACACAGAAAGAAGGATCTTTCTTACCTGTGATATATAGACATTGCTTTAACAACTTGGTTATATAGCGATTACCACTCATTTTTTTAATAAAGACTAGAAACTTATTTCAGTTTTACTATCATTTAAAATAATTTCTTATCCTCATACTAGTAGCAATATTGCAACTTGTATTAAAGCAGATACAAATGATTATTCTATAACTACCAAGATAATTAATTAGTATTGATTTTTAATTAAATTATTGTATATAGTTAATAAATATAATAATTAATAGTAACTAATATATTTTTAGTTGCAAACTATCACTCTTGACAATGCAGTATCGAATAATATTGCAGTTAGTGAGTTGATTTGTCATATTCTACAGGATTCAATTGATGTTGAAGATGAAATTTTCTATAACTATTGTCTTGCGCATATTCTTAATCTGATTGTAAAAGATGGACTAAAAAAAATTTCTGAAGGAATTAAAATAATATTTATATATTTATATAAAAAATGTGTTTATATGTATTAATATAATAATTCAATTAATATAGGCGGCTGTTATACGTACCCCCAAATTTGTTATCTGTACCCCTGTAAAATAACACTTTTTTAAAACTTTGTATGAAGATATCTCAACAACTACAAAGTTAAATTCAAAAAATTCTTTTTAGTTGCATTTTACAGATTTGTAAAATTCAAATAAAAAAAAATCCATCAAATTGACTTGGTGGGTGTCGAGATATCTTTGCTCAAAGTTTGAAAAAATTTTGGCACAGCTTTGTTTTAGAATATATTTTGAGTTTTCTTAGCTTTGAGCAAAGGTATCTTGTCTCCCACCAAGTCAAATTTGATAAATTTTTTTTTATTCGAATTCTACGAATCGGTAGAATACAAATAAAAAAACTTTCATCGGATTTGACTTGGTGGTTAATGAGATATCTTCGCTTAAAGATTTAAAAAAACTCAAAACGTCTATCAAAATAAAGCTGCGCCAAAATTTTTTAAACCTTTGAGTGAAAATATCTCGACAACCACCAAGACAAATTCGATGAACGTTGTTTTATTTAAATTCTACAAATTTGTAGAATGTAAATAAAAAAATTCATCGAATTTCACTTGGTGGTTGTCGAGATATTTTCGCTCAAAGATTTAAAAAAAATTTTGTCGCAGCTTTATTTTGATAAACGTTTTGAGTTTTTTTAAATTTTTGAGCGAAGATATCTTGTTAACCACCAGGTCAAATTCGATGAATTTTTTTTTATTCGAATTCTACGAATTGTAGACTGCAAATAAAAAAACTTTCATCGAATTTGACTTGGTGGTTAATGAGATATCTTCTTTCAAAGGTTTAAAAAAAAACACAAAACGTCTATCAAAATAAAGCTATGCCAAAATTTTTTTTAAACCTTTAAGTGAAAATATCTCGACAAACACCAAGTGAAATTTGATGAATTTTTTTTTATTTACATTCTACAGATTCATAGAATTCAAATAAAACAACATATATTGAATTTGACTTGGTGGTTGTTGAGATATTTTCACTCAAAGGTTTAAAAAATTTTGGCACAGCTTTATTTTGATAGACGTTTTGAGTTTTTTAAATCTTTGAGCGAAGATATCTCATTAACCACCAAGTCAAATCCAATGAAAGTTTTTTTATTTGTATTCTACAGATTCGTAGAATTCAAATAAAAAACAATTCATTGAATTTGACTTGGTGGACAACAAGATACCTTCGCTCAAAGTTAAGAAAACCCAAAATATATTTTAAAACAAAGCTGCACCAAAATTTTTTCAAACTTTGAGCAAAGATATCTCGACACCCACCAAGTCAAATTTGATAAATTTTTTTTATTTGAATTCTATGAATCTGTAGAATGCAACTAAAAAGAATTTTTTGAATTTGACTTTGTGGTTGTCAAGATATCTTTGTACAAAGTTTTAAAAAAGTGTTATTTTACAGGGGGGTACAGATAACAAATTTGGGAAGTATATATAACAGCTGCCTTAATATATTTGTATAGATTCGTGGTTGTGTCAAAGCTATATATACATCACCAAAGCAGTATCAAATGTTCATCGATGCTTGTGAATATGAATCAGTCAAAGTTAAAATTCCACCTTTGGATTGTGAGACTAGGTGGAATTCCATGTTCTTGATATTACAATCAGCAATAGAGTTAAAAGCTATAATTATTAGATTGAAAGATAAAGATAAAACTTTCCCGGATGTACCTAGTAAAGAAGAATGGAAGAAAGCAAAGTCTATTTATAGCGTTTTAGAACCATTCTATAAATGTAAGTATATTAACTAAAGTTAGCTTTTTATATTAGTTTTTTTATATGATTTCTAAAATATTTTTTTAATATTAATAGGTACTTTAAAAATGTCATCGAATTTTTATCCAACAATTAATAATACTCACTTTTCTATCTTGGATATTCGCATATATCTTTTTAAAATGAAATCTGATTTGAACATTTCTGTTCGTAAAATTAGCTTACCTATAATCGAAAAATTTAACAAATATTGGAAAAATAATAGCTTACTATATATAATCGTATATATTCTTGATCTCTGCTATAAATTACAGTTTATATCGTTTTATTATCATAAAAAAGAAGAGTATAAATTAGATTATGTTGAAGAAAAAGTGCAAGATATTCAAACAAGATAAATTAGTGCCAATTTTTATTTTTATTATCAACTTGTTAATAGCTCATATTTATAATAATTTTAATAATTTAGCTTTGAAAGCATATATTTTAATAATTATTATTTTCTATCAGCCATCGAACGATGTTTAGCCAGTATTGAAAGCAGCATTGCTTGTGCTAAAAATGATCGTATTGATAATTATTATGAATTTATGATAAAAAAGAATCAAGTTAGCTGACCAGATACTTTTTATAAAGTTAAACGATATCTTGATAAGCAAGTCGCTAGTAGAAATACTGATATTCTTTAATAGTGAAAAATAATGATCAGTTTCTAAATTTAACTAAAATAGCATGCGATTTTCTTGTTATACCAGCTACAAGTGTAGCATCTGAGCAAATATTTAGTTGTGCTGGGCATATTATTGATAATTATCGTACTTCTTTAGATTCGAAAACAGTAATTGTACTAATGTGTCAATGAAACTGATTAGGGTGGGACTTGTAAGTTGTTAAAAATAAAAATTTATAATCTTAGCAACTTGTGCATATAATATAATAAAGCAATAAAATTGAAACGCTTTGCTAACTGAAATAAAAAATTAGGCTATTTATATTTTTTTTTATTTATTAAATTTTTATTAGTAAAATTAAAAAATAATAAATCAACTGATTTTATATTATAGTGCTTTAATTATAAAGAAAAGTGTTAAAGAAATCGGGAATTAATTATAATTTTGCAAACCGTATATGATCAAAATCGATTTTTATATAATATAAAATGATTGTAATATATCGATATCAGCTTTAATTAATTTGGTAATAATATGTAATATTACAGTGCTTTAATTATAAAGAAAAGTGTAATACTCTAAAGAATTCATACTATGAATTCTTTGGAGTGTTATGCTTTTCTTTATAATTAAAGCACTGTAATTAGAGGTTGGACCTGAGTAGAAATTGTTGATATATGATCATAATAAATTATCCGAATAACCCAGGTAATTTAATAATACTCGAGTAGAGATTTTCTCAACAGGTCCAACTCCTAATTCATACACTTTTTAGCTCGATAAAATTTAAAAGTCATATCAAATTCAACCTTATCCCTTAATATGTAGACCAACGCAGACAAATTTGTCTGCGTTTTTGCACTTTTTTAGCTCTGATTTACTTTTTTAAAATGCTAAAATATTTAAATAAAACTTT